GGTACGGGAGGGAGGGTAGGGGTACGGAGGGAGGGTAGGGGTACGGAGGAGGGTAAGTGGTATGGGACGGGGAGGGTAGGGGCGGTACGGGAGGGGAGTGGTAGGGGTATGGGAGGGAGGTCAGTAGGTATGGGAGGGAGGGTAGGGGGTTATGGAGGGGATGTGTGGCGGTTATGGGAGGAGGGGGGGGAGGGAGTCGGAAGGTACCTTTGAATACAGGTTATGCAGATACGGTACAGAAGTGGGTCGATAAATGGATTGGCAAATAGATAGATACATAAATATGGTGGGTCGATAAATACATAGACAAATAGGTAGATACATAAATAGATATAGTGGGGCAATAGACAGATAGATGGATAGATGGGCGAGGTAAGTCCGTGGGCACAGCCAGGCAGACATACATACAGACAGATAAACAGAGAAAACAAGACAATCTATAGAGAGACACACACACAGGTGAGCTCCATCTCACTTGTCTCTCTCCTCTTCGTCTCCATCATCATCCCTTCCTCCCTCTTCCCTCTTCACCCCGTTCCTCGTCTTCCTTGTCTTTTTTTTTTCTTTTCTTTTCCCTTTCTTCTTTCTCTTCCCCCTCCCTCACCCCTCTCCTCCTCCTCCTCCCACCTCCAACCCTCTCCTCCCCTCTCCCTTCCCTTTCCACTTCTCCTCCCTCTCCCTCCCCTCCACCATCTCCCTCTCCCTCTCCCTCTCACCCTCCTCCCCCTTCCCCTCTCCCTCTCCTTCTCCCCTTCTACACCCCCACCCCTTTACCCCCCCTCTTACCCCTCCCCACTGCCCACAAACCACCTCCTCGCCTGCCCCACCTCGCCGCCCCGCCCACGTGACTGCCAACACCGCACGTGCCGAGCCTTCCCCGCCGACGTCACGTGACCGGCAAAACATGTCATTCAAATCTTCACAAAATTATCAACAACAACGATAAATAATCAAAGATAAAAATAAACAATAAATAATCAAAAGAAAAAAACATCCCACACAACGATGAATAGGAAACCAAAACAAAAGAAACAAACAAATAAATACACACAAAAAAAACGAATTAACGAACCCAAATTTCCAAATCATAAACTCATGGATAACGCTGCCGAATAATTATCTCGTTTTATAATCGTTCAATGGCCAATTTTCGCTCTCGCTAAACTTTTAATGGAGGAAACATATATTTTTTATAGAAGTGGACTTGGGGGGGGGGGCGCGGCCATAATCACCTTGTTTAATAATCCACAGAGGAAATAAAAGCGGACGTAGTGAAAATACGAACGGGATCTACGGCTTTCATCTTTATTTATCGGAAAATATACACGCCCACGTCTACATACACGTACTGCCATGCGCACTCACTCACTCACTCACACACACTCACACACGCGCACGCACACAGACACACTCACTCGCAACACATGCACGCACACACTCACTCACGCACACACACTCACTCACTCACTCACTCACTCACTCGCACACACACACACGCACGCACTCACTCACTCACTCGCACACACCACGCACACACTCACACACTCACGCACACACACACACTCACACACACACACCACGCACACACACACACACACACACACACACACGCACACGCAAACAAACGCAACACAGATAAATTCGGAGAAAACGGTTTTCTGAATTCAAGTTTTAACACAAAAGATTTTTTTTTTCTGCTTCTGCGGGTCGTCACGGGACTCTCTCTATCTCTATCTTTTTATCTTTCTCTTCTTCCTCATCTACCATCTCCATTCATCATCACAACCCTTCATTTATCGTCGTTTATCATCATTTTCACTCTCTCTCCCCTCTCTATCGTCATTTTGTTTCTCCACTTTCTCTTTGTCTCACCTCGACTTCCTTCTCTTCTATATTTCTCTTCCTTTCTCTCTACTTCTCCTCCGTTCTCCTCTCGCATTCTCACTCTCTCCTCTTCTTGTCATTTTTATCTACGTTCTTCTCACTTGTTTTCTTCTTCTCGTCTTCTATCTCTCTTTTATAGCCTCCCCCATTCTCCTCGAAGAAGAGACAAAGAAATGAACGGATGAAGGGAAGAATATAAAGGGAAAGAGGAACAAACTCTTACCCTTACTTTTTCTTCCCATATCATTGTTTCTTGTCTCCCTATCATTTCCCCTATCCCTACCCCTCTCATCCTCTCCCTTCCTCAACTACTCCTCTCTTTCCTCTCCCCTTCCCAAGAGCAAGAGGGAGATGGAGTGGAAGGGGAAGGGAGAGGAAGAGAAGAAGGCAACAGAAGGATGAGAGTGGGGACAAATATCAGGACACAAAAGAAATCAAATCTCACAAAAAGAAATTAAATGAACAAGCCTACAAGACACAAAGTCAAAAGAAACAAAAAACAAAACAAAAAAAAAGAGACAAAATAAAGCAAAAGAAATATAAGGAGTAGGTCGTTAGAAAGCGAGCAAGGGGAAGAAATACCAGTTCCTCCTCCCTTGCCATTTCTTGTCCTCCTTTCTCTGCTTTCCATCTCTTCCTGGGAAATCCTAATCATAACTAGGACCCTCGGTATACAGCCGGCATTCTTTTCTTTCTTTCTCTTATTTGTTTATGCTTCTGACTTCCTTCCCAAGCATACTGTTTCAGGTTTCCTTTTCATTTGTTTTGTCTCTTTTCTTCCACACTCAATGCTATTTCTTCTGGGTAAGTATTTTCTTCATTCTTTTCTTTTGTTCTATGGTCTTCCAACTTGCTCATTCTTATGCTATTTATATCCATTCCATTTCTTTTCTCTGTCTTTTCAGTCACATTTTTTATTTTGTATCTCACTTTTCTCTCATCTACATCTTTGTCCTTATTATCTCATTTCTCTATCTCATCCTTCTCTGTTTCTTTATGATCTCTTTCCTCTCCTTCATGTACCTTTAAATACTTTATTATATTTTCCTCTCTCTCATATACATCCACTTTTTTATCATCTTTCTCCTTTCTCTTTTTTACTTCCTCATCTTAGTCTTCTCCCTCATCTACTTCCACTTCTTTACCATCACATCCCTTCAGCTATATCCTCTAAACCTTTATATATATCTATATATCTATCTATCCCCTACTCCCTCCTAACCCTCCCACACCACCACCACCACCGTAGCCCTAACATCTCTCCACTTCCTCCTAATTCTAAAAAAAATCATAAATTGTTTAAAGACTTTGTGACTTCATTAACAACTTCTTGGAATCTGTTTCCTGACCTTAAGGTCTGCACAATACCCTTACATGCCTTCAGCGTCTTAGAACTCTTCATCATTATACTAAAGGCATTACACAAGAGGAAATGGTAGATAGATCAATCAAGGAGTGGATAGACTTGATACAATGGGCAGTTATGTCAATTATACAGAACGAATACATGGACAGACTGACATATGCAGTAAATACACTGAAATACATCTGCATAATATATAAGTGAAAAGAAACAAAATTGAAAGGCAACTTATAATACCCAAAATATAAAATATACAAATAAACACACTTTTTTCCTTTTAATTCACCATGAACATTCTGCTATAAAAAATTAATTTAAGAAAAAAAAAAATCCTTTTGCTTTACTGTGTTCTCTTACATATTTTTTTTTAGGAGAAAATAATTATTACTCTTGCAACCTCATCTCCCTCCCACGGCTTTTCAACCTTACGGAGAAAAATATTTCGAAATAATGAATTCCCTGCGAATTGTTTGCTCGTCCTCCTCTCTTTTTTTTTGTCAAATGCAAGCACAACTTTAAACACAGTAACATTATCTTCAGCCCGTGTGTTTCAGCTGCCTTAAATGAAAGAATATATATTTCGCAGTTCTACAATCCCTGTTAATTTGCACCAGGATGTGCTAAACAAACATACTTTACAGTAATGGAAATTATCATCATTTCTGGCGTTCAAGCATTTTGTTTCATGCTTTTACGGCCGCTGTTGTTGTTTTTTCTATTGTTATTGTCATTGTTACCATTATTGTGGTTGTTTCTATGAATATTGTGGTTGATGATATTGATTTTATTTTCTATTGTTACTGTCGTTGTTGTTGTTATTGTTACTACTGTTGTTGTTGTTGTTGTTGTTGTTGTTGTTGTTGTTGTTGTTGTTGTTGTTGTTGTTGGTATGGATTTACTAAACAATTTGCTACACTTTTGTCTAATGCAGAACTACCTTTAAAAATAGATTTCAGACACCTGATATAATTTCTTCTCCACTGTCTAATTTAACTGAAAATCTTTAGCTGGACTTTAAATGACTGAAAAGTTAAATAAAAGACAGAGAGACAAAGAGAAAGAGGAAAGAAAAGAAATAAAATAATGAACCAAATAATCCATAAAATAAAACAACAGGGGAAACCAAAGACGATCAAATAAAGAAAGGAACAGGGGAAACCAAAGACGATCAAATAAAGAAAGGAAAAGAAAGAATGAAGATAAAAAGAAAATCAAATTAAAAAAGGGGGAAAATAAAGGGCAGAGAACAAAAATCGAATATCAATCAATCAATCCGCATTACTATATGAAATCATGAAAGAAAACTATTCTCAGCCTTGACTAAACCAGTTCATTAAGACAAGTAAAAAAACAAGTAAATTCTCCTTTAACCTTTCTGCACTTTGACATTAAAGTAACAAAATGAATCCACTTCTCTAAAGATGATTTCTACATGGCAAGAGCACCATAAGGCAATGAGTGGAATTAAAGTCAGACAAATTGCAAAAGGAACAACAAAGGGAAGAACAAGAAAACACTCGAATATGCTGTATTACTTCCTCAGGACGATACAGCAAAAAGGCCTTCGACATATTTGTGTGTTTTCTGGTTCTTCCTTTCATTGTTCCTCTTGCAAGGGCGATGAGGGAAAGGGGAGACTCTAACAACTGATGGCTAATTATCACCGGTAAAAGTGAAGCTGAACCAATGCTCTTGTTCGCATCATTTCCATATTTACTTTCCTTTACCTTATAAACTTTAAGAAAGACATCTTTTACGCAGTATCCAAAGCTGCAGAATAAACAACTAAATCATGTGTTTTAGTCAAGTCCTCGAACTAAATGGAACTTACAAAAAAAAAAAAAAAAAAGACCGAAGTACAATACTAAAAGCTCCTTCAGTTCAAATCAATTTCCTGACAACGACCATACATGCTCGGTAAATAAATCCAATCCAACAATCACAAGTATTAGCTATCAGACGATAACCTATCCACAGAATTACGATACATTTATCTTTCAAATCATTCAGTAGCTAAAGATCATATTGTGCATCAGCAGGACCTAGCTGGCGGGATACCAAAGAATAATCATCCCATTAATTACTGTCTGCGGTTTGTTGCCACAGTGACATGCAACACAAATGCCGAATGCTAATAATCACACTAGGCATTCATTCCAATGCACTCATACATACTAACAGCCACAATATGCAAATCTGTTCAAGCCGTTCCCTCTTGCTAATGAGTTTTCATCCTCGTAATGAAAACAAATTGGAATTGATATTTCTCGCTATCTTTTTTCTTTTTTTTCTTTTTCTTGTGACCAATAATGGGCATTATTTCATTTTAACAAAATCGATAAAAAACTGTTCTTTGTTTGTTCTTTTCCAACTTGAGTGTAAAAAAATAATATATATATATTGCTTATTTGATTATTCTTATCTCAAAAAAGCATAAATCAAATAAAGAAATACATTGAGGGACAACCCAGCTACAACAACGCAAATGCATCTTTTTTCATAAACCCGCTAACCCAACTATCTCCAATGATGACCAAATATTTATCATTCTCAGATTTCTATACAACTCTTTAAAGAAAAAAAAATAAACCACCCCTAAAAAATCATATAAAAGAAATAGAGCAAAGACATATTCTGAAGATTTTCAAACACACCAAACACTGCAGAAATCTGGAGCATCTCTTGGGTAAAATAGTGACGAAGAAAAAGAAAAAAAAAACTGCCATAGACAAGAAAACAAAGCAAATGAGAAATTAATAAAAAGACAATAATAATAATACACCAATCTGTGACGGTACTCACTCGACATGGGTCTGGCTCTTGTGGGCGTTGAGACGTGTTTGAGGTTGTGGTCCTTCCTGATGCTCTCCATCAGTAGTTCCATTGGAGATGAGATCTTTCTTGGGGGCGGCAACAGCTTCCGCTCAGACGCCTGTAACAAGGTTGGTTGAATTTGGTTGAGTTTGAAACAGTTTGTGTCTTTGATGAGTTGCCAAAACGACATTCTAATAGTATCTTAGTTGTTTATCATATCAATAAATCAAATCGATCTTAAATCACATGAAATCTCCTCTTATTATCATATTGACTTGCCTGTAAACCACTGATTTGCAATATCTTTTTTAATAGTTGATAAAATATTGTCTTATCTTGAATATCCGAGTGCCTTAACCAATACCAGCCATAGCCAGTCCTCCAATTATGTATATCATTACATAAATGAAATTACCAGAACTTTTTACTACAATTACCAATTAATTGATCAAATAACTAAAAAGCAAAAATAAATGAATAAATAAATAAATAAATAACATAAAATAATAATAACAACAATCATAAAAGTATAATTACACACACATACACACTGACATGCATACCTTTCTAAGAGGTGGCCGTGATCTGATAAAGTCCAGGATGATGGTGTGTGCGTCTTTCTTGACCCGAGGAGGAATGTCACCGTTAACCATAACCTTGTTTAGGGTGTATCTGCAGAAAAAAAGAAAAAATTAATCCACAGGGGTAAAGGAGCACACATCAATCTGAAATCATAGAAATGAATATATATCATGTTTATTTTTCAAAAATAATTTTGATTCCTGGTTAAATCTATTTTAGTGCTAATACTTCATAAAATTACCTCAAATAATGCCTTTTAAAATATCAAATTAGAAAATTACAGGAAAATAAGGAACATCAATGTCTTAACGGTTAACACTAGTCTTCACCAACATGGTAATCATCAATGATCTTTTTCTACATTTTCAGTGTGTAATAATGGCAATATTAATATATTCCAAACACAAACAGAAAAAAGAAAAATAAATATTGTCCCTCTTAAAAAGAAAAAAGAAAGAAACAAACAAATATATATACATAAAAATAAAAAATAACAAACCTGCGCGACCGTATGTCTTCCATCAGCATCTCATAAGGGGTGAGAGCATATTCTATGGGGGCGTAAGAGTACTCCACTTTCTTCAGCTTGACTCCCTCCCGCAGCTGACGCATCACCTGGATCCATAGTCGAGCCTGTAATAAAATGGGGTTCATTTTCAGTCTTGGAAAAAAGAGAAAGGAAAAGTTTACAATGTTTAAAATTGAAAATACTTCATATTCATTCAAAAAAAAAAGAAGAAGAAACAGAAGAAGAAGAAGAAGATTCCTGAGATGCAAAGTCCTAGCATTCAATTCCATTTCTTTCTTCCAACAGAGAGAAAGAAATGAAGGTAACATCTTAGATAGCTAAACAATAACCAGACGGCATTATCATTCTACCGATATCTCTCCCCTCAAAGCCTATAAGCAAACCTGCCACATGGGTCATTTAGAAATTAAATCATTTAAAAATAAATCAAACAAAACAAATCAAAAAATCATTTTTTTTACTGTGTCCATAGCTAATACTTTAATTACCCTGATGTTAAAAGCTATTCAACGAGGAATTAGACAAAGTAGAAAAAGTAGAATAACGACCACTACAACATAGAAAGACTATGACGATGTACAAATAAGGAGATAAGAATGGAGAATAAGGGAAAGAAAAAAAGAAGGAAATACATAAATAAATAAACAAATAAAAAAGGAAAGCAACAGACCACTGTGCCCAGACTGTGACCTAGAATGACCCCAAAGTGACACCTGGCATTCCCTTCCCTTAGAGTTTCTTCCTCAACCATAGCACCCCTTCAGGTAAAAAAAAATAATAATAATATAATAATAAGATAAATAAAAAAAATAATGATAAAATAACATTAATAAATAACAGTAAAAACAATAGTAATGGTAATAGTAGTAGTAATAAAAATAACAATAATAATAATAATAATAATAATAATAATAATAATAATAATAATAATAATATAATTATAATGATAATAAGAGTAATAATAATAATAAATAATAAAAATAATAATAATAACAATAATAATAATAATAATAATATTAATAACAATAATAACAGTAATAATAATAATAACAATAATATTAATAATAATAGAGATATAATGCTACATACAGTATTCTCCCTATCCTTCAAAGTGCTTTTGAACCTGGCTGGAATACTCACTCGTCATCAAACATTCCATTATTTATAAACAAAATCTATTAAATTGACAGTGAAATGCTGTTATTATTAAATCAATCAACACTTAATAACAAATATGCCAACAATTAAATCAAATGCCGTCAAAATATTCCTCACAATCAAACATGTAGGTATAAATTCAAAATATATTAATTAAATTCCCATGCGAATGCCGTTTATAAACGGATCAAAATTTCCTCCGTGAAATAATTCCTCCAGAGAAAATATTTGGAAATGTTAAAGCCAGAAAATTATCTGAGCTGAAATTCCCTGAACTGCTATTAATAGTCTGCAAGGGCTACCCACTCGCTGCACATTGCAGGAAAATGTTGCAAATATTTTCTATGTGCAACATAGGCATACTTGATAGCAAAGGATGTTCAAGGCTTGCTGAATTTTTTTAACTTCAAAAAATGTCTTTATAAGTGGGTAAGTGAGTGAGTGTGAGTGTGAGAGTGAGTGTGTGAGCATGAGTATGAGTGTGAGTGAATAAGTAGGTAAGTGAGTGTGAGTATGAGTATGCGTAGGAGCATGAGTGTAAGTGTGTAAGTAGTGTGTGAGTGTGTGTGTATGAGTATGAGTGTGAGTGTGAGTGTGAGTATGAGTATGAGTGAGTATGAGTATGAGTGTGTTGTGTGTGTAAGTGTGTGTAAGTGTGAGTGTGAATGTGAGTGCGAGTTTGATTATGTGTTTTATTCATAGTCTTAAAGAAAATTGTAATCTATTTTTGAATCTTCCTTTTCTCTGGAAAAAATACTGATAAATCTAATTTCTTCCTCCTCCTCTCCGGAATCTTTTCTCATTAACAATTTCTTAATCTTTCTCCCTTATTAAGAAAAAGGAGGAGGAGGAGGAGGAGGAGGAGGAGGAGGAGGGAGTAGGAGGAGGGAGGAGAAGGAGGAGGAGGAGGGGAGGAGGAGGAGAAGGAGAAGGAGAAGGAGAAGGAGAAGGAGAAGGAAGGAGAAGGAGAAGGAGAAGGAGAAGGAAGGAGAAGGAGGAAGGAAAAGAAGAGAAGAGAAGAAGAAGAAGAAGAAGAAGAAGAAGAAGGAAGAAGAAGCAGAAGAAAAGCAGAAGAAAGAAGAAGAGAAGCAGAAGAAGCAGCAGTGAGAAGTAGAAGAAAACAAAGAAGAAGAAAAATAACAGAACAAGAGAAACAACACCAAAATAACACACCACACCCCGCCATACCCCCCCTCTCCCCGCCCCCATCGTAAACTCGCCGCCGCACCGCATGGGGTTTACAGGAGAACGTCCTTATCTCAGCCCAGCGACAGATAAACCCAATATCTGCCTAATTAATGCCTTGGATATGTATCCTCCCTGCTCCGTCGCCTGTCCTGTATGTCTGTGTCTCTCTCTCTGCTTTGTCTGACTGTCTCTCTCTCTCTGTCTCGTCTTTCTTTCTTTGTTTCCTTCTTCCTTTCCTCCTTCTTTCTCCTTCCTTCTTCCCTCCCTTCCTTTCTTTCTTTCTTTTTCTTTCTTCTTTCTTTCTTTCTTTCTTTTGTTTCTTTTCTTTCTTTCTTTCTTTCTTTCTTTCTTTCCGTTCCTTCATTTCTTCCATTTTCTTTCTCTATATTCAAGACTCTCCCAAACTAGGCCAATATCCCCGCCGAAATATAGCCAAGCAACCATTAACATAGAAGAGAGGAACAGAAGACATAGACAAGCCAATACTAAACAAACAACCAAACAAGCCACATAGTCAGACAACATAACCCATGTAGCCAAGCCATATACCATCCAACATGAGCAAATGACATTGCCAACAGGCCAAATTAAATACTAGTCGACCTAAAAACATAACCAACGCAGCCACGACAACCAATCAACATAGCCAATTCAAATAACCTTCCAACATAGCCAGCCCACATAACTTCTCAACACAACCCAGACACCTCACCAACATAGCCCAACCCAAACAGCCTCCCAACATAGCCAGTCCAAACAACCTCCCAACATAACCAGACGCTACAAACTACACCAACATAGCCCAATGCCGAACAGCCTTCCATGACAGCCCAACCCTAACCCAGACACCTTCCAACATAGCCCAACCCAAACAACCTCCCAACATAACCAGCCTACATAACTACATAACCAACATAGCCCCCCCGAACAGCCTTCCAAGACAGCCATCTCGCCCCCTCAAAGCCTCCAACATAGCCAGTCCAAAACAAGCTCCAACATAACAGCCACATAACTACATAACCAACATAGCCCGACCCAAACAGCCCCGAAACCTCGCCAACTCAAACAGCCTCCCAACATATCCAGTCCAAACAAGCTCCCAACATAACCAGCCTACATAACTACATAACCAACATAGCCCAAGCCGAACAGCCTTCCATGACAGCTCCAACATAACCCAGACACCTTACCAACATAGCCCAACCCAAACAACCTCCCAACATAACCAGCCTACATAACTACATAACCAACATAGCCCAACCCGAACAGCCTTCCAAGACAGCCCCGAACCCTCGCCAACTAAACAGCCTCCAACATACCAGTCCAAACAACTCCCAACATAACCAGCCTACATAACTACATAACCAACATAGCCCGACCCCGAACAGCCTTCCAAGACAGCCCTAAACCTCGCCCCCTCAAACACCTCCAACATAGCCCAATCCAAACAACCTCCAACATAACCAGTCCCAAAAAGCCTCCCAACATAACCAGTCCAAACAACTCAACATAACCAGCCTACATAACCAACATAGCCCGACCCCGAACAGCCTTCCAAGACAGCCCTTACACCTCGCCCCTCAAACAGCCTCCCAAACATAGCTCCCTCGCCCAGCAACATGCCGCATGGAGCCTCGGGAGGGCGTTTATCCTCCGAGACAAAGACGCAGCGCCTCCGTGGGTGACTCGCTCTGAGGATTTTTGGCGGAGGGGGCGATAACATTCATGAGGGGAGGGGGGGAAGGGGGGAGAAATGGGGGAGGAGGGGGAGAAATGGGGAAGGAAGGGGGAAGAGGAAGGGGGAAGGAGGGAAGGGGGAAGGGGAAGGGGGAAGGAGGAAGGGGAAGGAGGAAGGGGGAAGGAAGGAGAAAGGAGGAGGAGGGAGGAGAAAGGGGGAAAGAGAAGAAGAGGAGGGAGAAAAGGGGAAGGAGGAGGAGGAGGCAGAAAGGGGAAGGAGGGGGAAGGGGAAGGAGAAAGGGGGGAGGAAGAGGAGGGGGAAGGAGGGAGAGAGGAGGATGGAGACAGGGGGAAGGTGGGGAGAAAGTAAATGGGGGAGAGGAGAGAAGAGGAAAAAACAAGTGAAGAGAGGACTGGAAGAGAGGAAGAGACAGAGGAAACACAGAAGGAAGATGAAAGAGAGGGAAAGGAAAGAGAGAGAAAAAAAGAGGGAGGAGAGAGAGAGATGGGAGCGGTGCATGAGGGAAGCGAATTAAAGGGGAAGGAAGAACAGGAGATTGGGGGTGGTGGAGGGGGGGGGGGACGACGCCATAATGATAAGGGAGATGGAACAGAAAGAGGGAAAGGGACTGGGGAGGATAGGAAGAAGTAATGATAAAAGAGGAGATAGAGAAGGAGGAGGAGGAGGAGGAAGAGGAGGAGGAGAGGAGGGAGAAGGAAGAGAGGAAGGAGAAGCGGGGAAGAAGAAGGAGACAAGAAAACAAAGGAACAGGAAAGGAGAGGAGAAATAAGAAAAGAGGAGAGACAACTGAGGAGAAAGGGAAGTGGAAGGAGAATAAAGAGGGGAAGAAGAAGAAAGAGGCAAGGCGAGGGGGGACAAGAGGAAGAAGAGAGAAAGAGAAGAGAGAAAGGAGAAGGAAGAGAGAAGAGAAGAAGAGAAGAGAGAGGGGAGGGGAGAGAGAGGAAGGGGAGAGAGAGGGGAGGGGAGAGAGAGGGAGGGAGAGAAAGAGGGGAGGGGAGAATGGGGGAGGGGAGAGAGGAGGGCGCAGACCCAGAACTGAATCAATGGCAGAGACCGAAGCGCCGACAGAGACACCTGTTTTGTCTTCTCTTTCCTCCCGCCCTTGCCCTTTCTTTAGCCTTGATCCTTCCTCGTAAGCTCGCCCCTCTTCCTAAACTCGATTTATTTGAAATCTCCTTCCCAGAAAAGAATGAACAGGTGGAATTTGCCCTCCCCTTGCTCCTCACCCCGCCGTGAATAAGCCATGCCCAAAATCCCCCAGCCCTCGCCAGCCAATCACAGGC